ATAAAAAATAAGTGCTGGGGATATATCTCAGTTGATAGAGTGCTTGCCTCACATACATAAGGCCCTAGGTTCAATCCCCAGCACCATCAAATAAAAAATAAAAGGGCTGGGGATGTAGCACAGTACTGGGTTCAATCTGCAGTACTGAAAAGAGTGTAGGGGAATGCCTAGCACAGAATCCAAGCTAAGGGATGGTTTGTTACTGGTGGCAACAAGTACCCAAGACATGGAAGATACAGGACTTCCAACATGTGAGCTGCCCTTCAGTTGGGGAAGGGGTGGGGAGAACAGAGGCAGATGCCCTCATTCACAGAAGCCCTCATTCTCTATCCTTATTACCACCTCTCCCACAGATGAGTCCTGCCGGCGGTGACCATCTTTCAACTAGGGGACATACCTCCCTCCTTCCCAGAACTGAAGATCCTGGAGCCTAATGATTCAAAGCAGAGGACCCTGAAAATGAGCCTGGCAGGGACAGGCAACCAACATCTTCTGACTTGCTTTCCCCATCCTGTTTCTAGAGGCAAAGCCAATTGCCCAATTTCCACCCTAACCCAGAATCCCTGATGTGCCCTAGTATGGGTGAGGTCAATGGGCTGGAGCATCTTAGGTGACCCAAGAGTAACCACCAGGTCCTGGGAGGAGCATAGAACTCCCTGGGGTGTGGAGATGGAGCAACCCTCATCTCCATGAGAGGATACAGTCTTCCTACATCTTTCCTTGACTCTTCACAAACTGCAGAGAGTCCTCAGGATTTAAGACCTCATTTCCCTGGGAGACTAAACCCCACTGAATTCACAGGCAGTGTTCCCCCTTCGTTTGCAGCTACCTGCTTCTTCTCATGACCATATCCTAGTTTACAAATCCTACCAGCTCCAAGACCCACCTGGTAAAGTCCCAGGTTTACAAGCCACACCTACTTGCCATGTCCAGGTGGAGTTTTGTCCCTTGTCCCCATCATTCCTTTCATGGGGAATGACCTGGGGGTGTGGCTTCTTCCACCTTTGCTCAGTATTACTGTGTTTCAGTTTCCCACAGGAGGGAAGACAAGGAATCTTAACTCTGTACCCTTTGAAAGATATTTAATTCTGTCCCTCCTAATGATTCACAATTGATTTGAATTGCAGTGGTGTGGAGTGACTAAGGAGGCAACTCACTTCCCCTCTCCCATTGCACCTTCAATTTTGTTGTGTTCATTTTTTAACTTTCTATAATAAAATGGAGCTTTCTCTGACTCTTCTGCTGCTTCTTTGGGGGAAAAAAAAAGTTCGTGTAAGGGAAGACTTAGTGGCTGTGGGAGGGGAAAATGAAGGGGGATGAACCAGGAACCTGGCACTGACATAGAAAGTAGTCTAGAAGTCAAACACAGCTGTACACACCTGTAATCCCAATGACTCTGGACGCTGAGGCAGGAGATTACAAGTTCTAGGCCAGCCTCCGCTACTTAATGAGACATTGTCTCAAAAAATAAAAAAAGGACTGGGATGTATCCCAGTGGTAGAGTGTCTCTGAGTTCAATTCCTAGTCCAAAAAGAAAAAAAAGGGGGGGGGGGTGTCTCAGGAGCTGTGTGCGGGTTTCACAGAAGACAAGCAGAAGTCATAGGTAAGGGCTGTTGACTTGTCCACTAAACTGAAAAGTGTGGTGAAAACAGATTATGACATTTGAGTTCACTGCAGTAACCCCATACCTGGAGCCTAGTAGACACTTTTAAAATAAATGACCAAATGAATGAATAGATGAAAAGAAACAATTGGAAGCAGAGGTTACTCTGAGTTGAAGTGTTCCAGTATTTCAAAGCTGGCTTCAATGCAAGCAGTCAGGTAGTCAAGTAGTCAGCAGCTTGTGTATGACACACAAGCTCTAGGGACAGTTACTCAAAGAGTTGGGACTATAAATAGTAAATCTCCGGAAACTTGCAAAATTTAGTGGATCCAGAAGTGCAGGGTCCTGGAAAAAGTTTTCTTCTGGTAGACGATGGATTTTTTTATTCCTAAAGATTTAACAACCATCAGTAATTTATAGCTTTGCTGCCCAATATAGTTGATTCTCCCATTTCAAAGAATTTCAATTTTCTACAAATGTGAATCATGTTATTTGACTCATCAGATATATATATATATATATATATATATATATATATATATATATATATATATAATGACATTTAAGTTCACTGCAGTATCCGCATACCTGGAGCCTAGTAGACACAAAGTTACTTTTAGAATAAATGACCAAATGAATGAATAGATGAAAAGAAACAATTGGAAGCAGAAGTTACTCTGAGTTGAAGTGTTAAATAAATACACACACACACACACACACACACACACACACACACATATATATATATATATATATATATATATATATATATATATATATATGATGTTAATGGTTAATGGACCTTTATTTTTTATTTATTTATATGTGGTGCTGAGAATTGAACCCAGTGCCTCATATAAGCTCTGCAAGCACTTTACCACTGAGCCACAACCCCGGTCCCGGTTTGTTTTATTTTTATTTTTAGATGGTCTCACTAAGTTGCCCAGACTGGTCTTAAACTCCTGGGCTCAAATATTCCCCCTGCCTCAGCCTCAGGAGTAGCTGTTTCTGTGAGACTAGTTAGAGACCCTTTCTTTACCCAAACCCAAAATGTACTAGACAAATTGACCTTAAGCATATGTCAAAGTTCTTAAATTTACCAGCAAGGAAATAAGCAAGGTGTTAAGAGTGAGCAGAGAAGATGAGGGTGTAGAAAAAAAATTAGTATTTAATTAGATAAAGATCCTAATCAATTGTGACCCAGGAAAAGAGAGACAGGAAGCTCTGAGACCCCAGAGGTGCCACAGTACATCTTAGAAATAGTAAATGATGTGTCAAAAAAATAAAAAGTATGGATTCACCTGTGGCTTTTCACTAGAATAGTAATTTTTATTTCCTAACTATAGTGTCTGGCATATCCAATTAATCATAAAATTGTATCCAGGTGCCCATAAAAGTGTATCCAGGTGTAAGCCTGTAATTTCAGATATTTTTGAGGCTGAGGCAAGAAGATCACAAGTTTGAGGCCAGCCTCAGCAACTAAGGAAGAAGCTGTCTCAAAAAATAGAAAGGGCCAGGCTGTGCCTGTAATCCCAGAGGCTTGGGAGGCTGAGGCAGGAGAGTTCAAAGGCAGCCTCAGCAATTTACTGAGGCTCTTAGCAACTCAGTGGTACCCTGTCTCTAAATAAAATATATTAAAAAAAGGGCTGGGGATGTGGTTTGGTGGGTAAGTGCCATTGGTTCAATCCTGGGTACCAAAAAAAAAAAGTCTAAAGAAGGGCCACAGAGATCAGACTGCTGTAAAGTAAATAACAGATTCTGCTTATTGATTGATTGATTGATTGATTAGGATTGGGGTCTTCCTGGTGCTGGGATAGTGGCTCAGTGGTAGAGTTCTTGCCTCACATGTGTGAGGCACTGGGTTTGATTCTCAGCACCACATATAAATAAATGAATAAAATAAAGGTCCATTAACAACTAAAAGAAAATTTTTTAAAAAATAGGATCTTCCTACATCACCCTGACTACTTTCAACTTCTGGGCTCAAGTAATCCTCCTGTCTCAGCCTCCCAACAACAGGGGACTACAACCTCTTTACCATGCCCCTATTGGTACTGCTAATTTTAATTTTATTTATTTATTTATTTATTTAAATATTTATTTTTAGTTGTAGTTGGACACAATACCTTCATTTATTTATTTTTATGTGGTGCTAAGTATCGAACCCAGGACTTGCACATGCTAGGTGAGCACTCTACCAATGAGCCACAACCCCAGCCCACTGCTTATTTTTAAATAAGCAGCTGCCAGTAATTTATTAAGGTGTCAGCAAAACAATTAGTCCATTTAGTTTGCAGATTTTTCTTCCCCTTGAACAGCTTTCCCTAATTCCCAAGTTTCCTCTTGCTTGGAAGTCCTCCCTTATGCCTAACCTATATTCACTCCTGCTGCAGTTACCAGTCTTAGAAAAGGTCACTTCTAATCAGTGCAGACTAATTTTTAAAAAATGTTTTATTTATTTATTTATGTATTTATTTTTAAATATGTATTCTTAAGTTTTTAGGTGGATACAACATCTTTGTTTTACATTTATGTGGTGCTGAGGATCGAACTCAGTGCCTTGTGCATGCTAGGCGAGCACTCTACCACTGAGCCACAACCCCAGGCCCCTGCTTTATTTAAAAAAAAAATTATATATATATATATATATATATATATATATATATGTGTGTGTGTGTGTGTGTGTGTGTGTGTGTGTGTGTGTTTAGTAGTTGTGCTCATTATCTTTATTTTATTTATTTATTTTTATGTGGTGCTGATGATCAAACCCAGGGCCTCGCGCGTGAACCCAGGGCCTCCCATGTGCTAAGGGAGAGCTCTACTTCTGAGCCACAACTTCAGCCCTTAATTTTTATTTATTATTATTATTATTATTATTATTATTATTATTATTATTATTATTAATTTATTTATTTTTATGTGATGCTGAAGATCAAACCCAGGGCCTTCTACGTGCTAGGCAAAAGCTTTACTGCTGAGCCACAACCTCAGCCCCTAATCTTTGATATAAGTATGTATATGCTGATCTTCCCATTTGAAATCGAACCTAACCTCTTCTTATCCTGCATTATTTTTGGCTCCATAGAGCTTATATATTTTACTTAATTATTATGTATCTTGGCTCCTTGAACCCTGAATGCATATTTCTTATGGGATTTTTGTCCGATTTGCTCTACGCTTTACTTCCAGCTACTTAAAAGGCCTAGCATCCATTAGGCGTTTAATAAATTGGTTGCTTTTAGTCAGTGAGTGAGCAGAGCACTTGCATACTGACCTTCAGGGGGCGACGGAGAGATTGAATAAGGATGGAAATGAAAGCTTATTATCCCCACCTTAGGGAACGGTTCTGCGAAATTTGAACTCGCTCGGCCACCATAGGGCTTAGGCCGGAAAAGCGCAGCCCCTTCCGGGCGCCGCAGTACGGAAAGACGGCTTTGAGCTCCCGAAAATTGAACACAAGTACTAAGGCAGCTCCCTCGTGGGGCTGAGGCTCTGGCCTAGGGTTCCAGGGCTTCGACACTCTGGGCTATCAGTGCGGCTGGTCTGGACGCGTCGGGGCTCTAGCAGGGAGCGTGGGTCGCCATGGCGACGCCTGCAGGGCTGGAGCGCTGGGTTCAGGAGGAGCTGCACTCGGTGCTGGGGCTCAGCGAGCGGCACGTCGCGCAGTTCCTGATTGGTACAGCGCAGCGCTGTGCCTCCGCCGAGGATTTTGTGCAGCGCCTACGAGACACCGATACCCTGGACCTCAGCGGGCCGGCCCGGGATTTTGCCCTGAAACTCTGGAACAAGGTGTCGAGCGGGCGGGGCGGGGCGGGGTGGGGTGGGTGGGGCCTGGCGTGGGAGCGGAGGTAGAGGAGGTGGAACAGGGGAGGGCGCTTTTACCTGCACTAGGGAAGTTGGTCATCCGAGGAGTTAAGTAAGTTTAATTCACAAACATTTGTCTATTGTCCGTTGTCGCCTAGGGACTGAGCCAGGTGCTGATTATCCAGCTCAGTGGAGAAGATGGAAGGTTTAAGTGTAGGGTTAAGTACTATAGAGAATTGTTTCTGGAGCTTTAACCTACATATGATTCGTCCAGGACCCTTGCCAAAATGCAGATTAGGTAGCAGTCTTGTGCATTTCTAACAAGTTCCAGGTGATGCTGACGGTCAGGAACTACACTTTGCATAGCGAGGTTATAAGAGGTGTGTAGGAAATGATGTGGGAGGTTGGAGAGATGGGAGAAGTGATCAGAAAAAGCAGGCCCAAAGATTCCCTGGAATTTGTCAGGTCGAGAATGGGAAAGAGTAAGAGTATATGTAAAAGTGAACTGGTGGACAGGACTGTGCATTTCTTGTCTTGTATTCTTCCTACCTAACAGTTTTCTGCCTTACAGAACAGGTGCTAAGTAAGTGTATATAAGGAGTGAAAGTGAGACTGGGGTTGCAGCTCTGAGGTAGAGTGCTTGCCTAGCATGTGTGAGGCAGTGGGTTCAATCCTCAGCATCACGTAAAAATAAATTTTAAAAAATGAAGGTATTGAGTCCATCTACAACTAAAATAAAATTTAAAAAAAAGTGAAAGTGTTCAGAGAATGGCAGATAGCCTATTATGGCTGTCCCATATAGTGCTTGATGAGAAATGAGGTTAGAATGTAAGACTGGGCTCAGGGGTAGCCAGCTGGGGCAACAGAGCTAGAGGCCTGACTTCTGCTGGAGAAGAATCTATCTTACAAGTTTCTGGGAGACAGTGAGGAGAGTAGCAAGGAGACTGTGGGTAGGACTGGGAGCAGCCTTCAGAAAAAGTGTAGGAAATGGAAACCTCTCAGGCTGTACAGTGGTAGAGCACTTGTATAGGATGCAGGAAGTCCTGCATTCTATTGCCATAAAATGGGGAGAGAGAGAAAGAAAAGGAAAAGTAAGTTCCGTGATGTACTATTCACCAGTGAATCCCTGGAGTCTAGTACTCAGGCCTGTGACAGGCACTATCAAAAGTTGCAAAATACCCCTTGTAGTATGTTAGTCCTTGTATAGGAATGCCTTAATCATTGGGAATAATATAGCTATGAGAAAGGCAATTGAGAATTGGGTTTGGGAATGTAAGCTCCATGAGGGCAGACATTTTTGTCTCTTGTTTATTCCCGTATCCCTAGTACTTAGCATATACCTGATACACGGCACAGGTTTCAATAAATGTTTGTTAAATGGTGACTGAAAGGAAATTCATAAGCTGAAGGGCCCCTTTCAAGTTAATGAACATGGGGTAAAGCCATGTGAAAGAGGGAGATTAAAGGTCAGATTAAGATCAAGGAATTTCTAGCTGGGTGTGGTGGTACACACCTGTACACCTAGTAATTTGGGAGGCTGAGGCAGGAGGATGGCAATTTCAAAGCCAGCCTCAGCGGATAAGTGAGGCACTTAGCAACTCAGCGAGACCCTGTCTCTAAATAAAATATTAAAAAGGTCTGGGAATGTGGCTCAGTGGTTAAGTACCCCTGGGTTCAATTCCGGTACCAAAAAAAAGCTTCTCACACACCTTTGTTTCATCCTCTGCTGACAGGTTCCAAGGAAGGTGGTAGTAGAAAAGCCAGCTCGGACAGCGGAGCGAGAGGCCCGAGCCCTACTGGAGAAGAACCGATCATACAAGTTGCTGGAAGACAGTGAGGAAAGTAGTGAGGAAACTGTGGGTAGAACTGGGAGCAGCCTACATAAGAAGCGTAAGAAACAGAAACACCTCAGGAAGAAACACCAGGAGGAGGAGGAAGAAGAGGAAGAAGAGATTCCTGAGACAGGGAAGAACAAGACAGGGTAAGTCAGAAGCAAGGGCAAAGAGGGTGGAGTGAGTGGACATGGGGATGATAAGCCTTCTGAATGTCTTATTTGATGCCCTGGGAGAGGTACAGGGCAAGCAAACAGCAGACTGAGAAGCCAGAGTCAGAGGATGAGTGGGAACGGACAGAACGGGAGCGCCTTCAGGATCTGGAAGAACGTGATGCTTTTGCTGAGCGGGTCCGGCAGCGAGACAAGGATCGGACTCGCAATGTCCTGGAGAGGTCAGACAAGAAGGTGTGGAGAAGTAGTATATTCTATAAATCCCCTAGGACCTTAGGTGAAATCTTGAAATTAGTTATAATTACAGAGATTGTGATCTTTAGAAAGATAAAGAGCTCTCTCCAGGGTTGGGGATGTGGCTCAAGCGGTAGTGTGCTCGCCTGGCATGCGTGGGGCCTGGGTTCGATCCTTAGCACCACATACAAATAAAGATGTTGTGTCCGCCGAAAACTAAAAAACAAATATTAAAAATTCTCTCTCTTTAAAAAAATAAATTAAAAAAAAAAAAAGAGCTCTCTCCAGTGATGTATTCCTCTCTGTGGTCACAGGACCACTGTGAGTTTTTTGGCTAAGGCAACTCTGTTGTACATAGAAAGCCTTCTTTACTGAAAGGGAACATACCTTGTACCCTTTCAAAGGGTACATCTGAATGATTCTCATGATTTCAAATGGAAGTGATCATGGGTGTGAGCACTTTTTGACCTCATCTCTGACACTATTGGTTTCTTCTAGGCTTATGAAGAGGCTCAGAAGCGCCTCAAGATGGCCGAGGAAGACCGGAAAGCCATGGTAAGTCCCAGGGTCCAAGAAGCCAAGATCAGAGGACAAAAGGAATTTGTGATGGAGTAGTTAGCTATAGGAAAAAGTTAAACAGAGAAAATGCAGTGAGAATGTTGATAGGGGTGATTAAGTCTCTAGATGAGGAGGCTTGGTTGCTAGGAACTCATAAGGATGGATTTAAGTCGTAGAGAGAAGGAATCCACTACAAATCCTCCTTTATGCTTTCTTTTTGTGGGGTACTGGGGATTGAACTCAGGAGCATTCAACCTGAGCCACAAGCCCAGCTCTATTTTGTATTTTATTTAGAGACAGGGTCTCACTGAGTTGCTGAGCTTCTCGCTTTTGCTGAGGCTGGCTTTGAACTTGTGATCCTCCTTTCTCAGCCTTCTGAGCTGCTGTAATTACAAGGCATGTGCCACAACGCCCGGCTTAAATCCTCCTTGACTCTTTAGAAATCAAATCACACTGTATATAATTGAGTGAAACATTAGCTCTCCCTTTTCCTATGACTTAGTGAGACATAAGGCAGCTGGAATGTTGTTGAGGGGGTGGCTAGAGGGCAGGTTCAGGGTAGCTGTCTCACTGTTCCAGGCACAACATCTCTGCATCTCCAAATACCTTTTCTTTCCCCCTCCCTCCCTCCCTTCCTTCCTTCCTTCCTTCCTTCCTTCCTTCCTTCCTTCCTCTAGGAATTGAACCCTGGGGCACTATATCACAGAGCTATATCCTCAGTCCTTTTTCATTTTGAGACAGTGTCTCACTAAGTTGCTTAGGGCCTTGCTAAATTGCGGAGCTGGCTTGAATTTGTGATTCCCCTGCCTCAGCCTCTTGAGTCCCTGGGGTTACAGGCGTATGCCACTGTGCCTGGCTCCAATGTCTTTAAAAACTACTTTTCCAAACCAGAATACATTCAGGACTCATGACTTACTTAGTGGCTTGCTTTTGCTGAGGCTGGCTTTGAATCGCCATCCTCCTGTCTCAGCCTCCTGGGCCACTGGTATTACAGGCATGTGCCACCTTGCCTGGCTATAATTCTTTTTTAAAAGGTGAGGTAAGGACTGGGGCTGTAGCTCAGTGGAAAAGCACTTGCCTAGCATGTGTGAGGCACTGGGTTCGATCCTCAGCACCACATTAAAAAAAAAAAAAAAAGTCCATCGACAAGTAAAGAATATTAAAAAAAAAGGGATATATTTTTATTTTAATTACCAATTTTCACATAAGAAGTTTTGTGTAATAGTTATTTCACTGATAATGAAAATTATTTTCCCCATTTTTTTTGTTTTCTGGACTCATGAATTATTATTTTTAATACTTTATAATCTCCTATCATTCTTTTTTTTTTTTTTTAAAGAGAGAGAGAGAATTTTTAATATTTATTTTTCAGTTTTCGGCAGACACAACATCTTTGTTTGTATGTGGTGCTGAGGCTCGAACCTGGGCCGCATGCATGCCAGGCGAGCACGCTACCACTTGAGCCACATCCCCAGCCCCCATTATTCTTTTTGATGTTCCGATAATGCCAGTTCTCTCTTATCATTGGCCCTGAAAAGTCTGTGTCACAGGTTAACCATTAGAAGCCACATTGTAGGGGGAAAGATTAGTCCTAGAGAGCTAAGTGTCCCTGATTATATTTTGCCTTCTAGAAATACTCTCTTGTGCTATAGTCTCAATTTCTATACATGATCCTTTTTTTTTTTAATATTTTTTAGTTGTAGATGGACACAATACCTTTATTATTTTATTTATTTATTTTTATATGGTACTGAGGCTCAAACTCAGTGCCTCACCTGTGTGAGGCAAGCACTCTACCACTGAGCTACATCCCCAGCCCCGCCTGACTGGGTTTTTCTTTCTTTTTTTTTTTTTTTTTTTGGTACTAGATATTGAACTCAGGGACACTTGACCACTGAGCCACATCCCCAGCCCTATTTTGTGTTTTGTTTAGAGATAGGGTCGCACTGAGATGCATTGCTGAGGCTGGCTTTGAACTCACGATTCTCCTGTCTCAAGCTCGTGAGCAGCTGGGATTACAGGCATGTGCCACCTGGGATTACAGCCATGCTCCACTATGCCTGGCCCACCTGATCGGTTTTTAATCCCTTCTCTTTGAGTTTAAGATCAGAGCATATAAATTAGGGCTGAAGATTGCCCACAGTTGGCACCCCCAGTAGTTTCCATCTTTGTTTCTCATTTTCAGTTTGAGATCTATGCTTCTAAATACTGGATCATTCTTTTTGTTTTCACCCTTTCCACTTACTTTTTAGTAAAATAGAATCAAGTATTCAAATAATTGCTGTGATGTATCTATTTTGACAAAGAGTGTAACACTGCCCAGAAGGTGCTTCCAACTAGATTCAGCTGCTAGAAGGGCAATTTGTGGGGTCAGCATGTGGCATTCCAAAGAAGCCCCTTTAACCAGGTGTGGTGACCACATCTATAATCCTAGCTTTTCAGGAAGCTGAGGGAGGAGTAATGTAAGTTAGAAACCAGCTGGGGAAACTAAGTGAGATCTTGTCTCAAAAAATAGAAAAGGCTGGGGATATAGCTCAGTGGTAGAGTGACCTTGGGTTCTGTACTGGAAAGAAAAAAAAAAAGTACAGTTTTGGGCAAATCTTTTGCTTGCAAGGGAGTGTGAAGGGTCTGTCTTTAGATTCTTACACCTATTGTCTGGGAATTTTTCATATTGAGAGGTAGCTAGGGAAAGGTGTTGCTGCTCTAGTAAGATGAGGATTTATTTGACTATTCCTTCCTGAACCAGGTCCCTGAACTACGAAAAAAATCCCGCCGAGAGTACCTGGCAAAGCGGGAGCGAGAGAAGTTGGAGGATCTGGAGGCAGAGCTGGCTGATGAGGAGTTCCTCTTTGGGGATGTGGAGCTCAGCCGACATGAGCGCAGGGAGCTCAAATACAAACGGCGAGTGCGGGATCTAGCCCGGGAGTACCGGGCAGCTGGTGAGCAGGAGAAGCTGGAGGCCACCAACCGCTACCATATGCCCAAGGAGACCCGAGGACAGGTGCGGTGGTGAGGTGAAACTTTGGAGGGGCAACACCTTGCCTGGCTCTTTACTTCTCTTGCTTTTTGCAGTGGGTGGAGATAATGAAGAGGGAGGTGGGGACTGGGCATAGAGGGCATCCCCTGTTTTCATGTCCTCATATGTCTCCTCTTTGTAGCCAGCTCGTGCTGTGGACCTAGTGGAGGAAGAATCAGGTGCTCCTGGGGAGGAGCAGCGGCGATGGGAGGAGGCCCGTCTAGGGGCAGCATCTTTGAAGTTTGGAGCCCGAGATGCTGCCTCCCAGGAACCCAAATATCAACTGGTGCTGGAGGAGGAGGAGACCATTGAGTTTGTCTGTGCCACTCAGCTTCAGGGTGATGAGGTGAGAGGGAGAGCTTTGAGACATTCTGAGGAGGCCCTGAACTGGCTGTGGGGCTCACAGCCCACCCTCTTTTTCCTTAGGAGCCATCAGCTCCACCCTCTTCAGCCCAGGCTCAGCAGAAGGAGTCTATCCAGGCCGTCCGCCGAAGCCTCCCTGTGTTCCCATTTCGAGAGGAACTCCTGGCTGCCATTGCAAATCATCAAGTCCTCATCATTGAAGGCGAGACAGGCTCTGGGAAGACCACCCAAATCCCACAGTACCTTTTTGAAGAGGTATGGTCATCACTCTCCAGGTCCCAGGCCCAGGGCATTGATGAGCATAATACTCATCAATGAGCTCCTTTACATGATATTTAAGTCTCATTTCCCTGGCTTTTCCTGTTAAATCATGAGAATCTTGAGAATAAACAGCAGACCCTTTTTGCATTTCTATTCTTATTTTCTGCTGTGTAATTTATGCCTTGGAGATGTTCAGATTGGAAGGATGTATAGACAGATAGATGGAGTGTGGTGTGGTGCCCTGTCCTTGGTAACCTAAAGAGTAGGACTACAGGGCTGGCTGAGCACCTCTTTGGAGAACCTTCTGTCTGTCATCCTATCTGTTTGCCCTTCTTTTCTGATTTTAATCTTCTGTCCATTGTTTCCTTTCCTCCTGCCCCACCTGGCTTTTATAACTTCTTTCTCTGAATTGTGATTGGGCCTCAGGGGCCATATTTAGCAAAGGAAAATCTTCTACCACAGAGCTATTGGAACCTTCTTTCTTCTTTGTCATTCAGGGTTACACAAAGAAGGGTATGAAAATTGCCTGCACCCAGCCCCGGAGAGTTGCAGCCATGAGTGTGGCTGCCCGAGTGGCCCGGGAGATGGGTGTGAAGCTTGGGAATGAGGTGAGACTCTGGGGACTCATGGGTGAGGGAAACCCCTAGGATCTGGGATTCAGTCCACACTTTCCTTATGTCATAGGTCTGGGTATTGGTCCTTCTTCCTCTGTCCCTGAGTTCCCCTTGGGGAACTCCATCCCCCTCTTGGTCACCAATGGTCCCTTAACCAGGTTGGCTACAGCATCCGATTTGAGGATTGCACATCAGAGAGAACAGTTCTCCGCTACATGACAGATGGGATGCTTCTCCGGGAATTCCTTTCTGAGCCTGACCTGGCAAGTTACAGGTACATCATACAGGCTCTTGCCCCTCTGAGGAGAGCCACCTGTCTTCTCTTCCCTCTGTCCTGCTGCCCCCTCCCCCTCAGTGACTTCTTGTATCATTTAATCTCTTTCTTTCCATCTGGCTAATTTGGCCATTGAGTTCTGATTAACCCACCATGTCTTGAATCTGTGTGGTTCCAATGGTCCTAGAGCTGACCTGCAGGTCCATGGAGTTGGGGCTGGAGAAAAGAATAGATTGCAGAGAAAACCTGCCCCACTGCCTATTCATTTCCAGAGTTCACGAAATCAGGATGGTGGAGTGGTGCTATGGGGACTTGAATTGTATGAGTAGACCATTTGAAGACACCCAGGATGTTCAGATTGGAGGAAAAAAGCTTAGGACACATGCTGGTTTCTTCAAAATATGTGAAGGGCTGTTACATGGTTAAGAAGGATTACACTTGTTTTACATTACACCAGAGGTCACCACTTGGAACCATGGGGCAGATACAGGGAGATAGATCAGCTCAATATCAAGAGCCATGTAACCCTCATAGGGGCAGAGATTATAGGGGCTGTCAGAGTGCCTGGCTCTAGGTCCTTAGCCCACATCTCAAGGTGGCTTGGTCTGTCACCACTGAGCTCTTATTACTGGAGATGGCCAAGCAAGGGTTGAATGAAGGGGAGAAGGTATTCTTGGATGAGAGGGGTATGTGGGGTGAGCTGGCCAAGCAGTATGTGCATTTGTACCTTTTCAGTGGGTGGACTTTCAGATCTTGGAGAATCATAGTGGAGAACTTAAGACAGTTATGATTTGATCCTTCACAGGTTTTGCAAAAATCTCTGGGAACCTATGGGAGACCAGGTATTGTAAGACTGTCTAGGGTGTGGGGTTTCCCCATGGAGCCAGCCTACTTTATGAAATGGCTGAGACTTTACATTCAGTCAGGGCTAGGTACAGAATAGTGGGGATTGGGGGAGGTGAGCTCCTGTGGTCTTGGCTGCCACCCAGAAAACCAAAGAAGGTGTAATACAAATAACTCAGTTAGGCAAGAACCAAGGCATCTGTGCAGTCCTTTGAAATCTAGGGTAGAAACGTTCTCCTTCTAGAAGGTTCTCCTTCTAGAGAAGGAGCAGCAGTCACCCCATGGGTCCCTGGGAGCTGCTATATGTTTATGTCCTGGCAGCTCAGGTCTGTCTGTTCATCTCTAGCCTCCCTTGTTGAAAAGAGTCCTGCCCTCAGTTTTTTTTTTAATTTTATTTTTTATTCTAATTTGTTATATATGACAGCAGAATGCATTACAGTTCATATTACACATATAGAGCACATTTTTTCATATCTCTGGTTGTACACAAAGTGTAGTCACACCATTTGTGTCTTCATACATGTGCTTAGGGAAATGACGTCCAACTCATTCCACCATCTTTTTTACACCCTTTGCCCCTCCCCCCCTTTGCTCTATCTAGAGTTCGTCTAATGTTCACATGCTTCCCCTTCCAACCCCCTGCCTTCATGCTTTTATTCATCTTTAAAAGTATATCCTTACTTCTGCTTTCTCCAGTAAGGGCAGCTTCTGGCACTAAGCAGACTCTTTTTTGTTTGTTTTTGTGGTACCAAGGATTGAACCCAAGGATAGTTTCCCATCAGGTACACACCCCAGGCCTTTTTGGTATTTTTTATTTTGAAACAGGGACTCACTAAGTTGCCAGACTGGTCTTGAACTTGAGGCAGAACTCCTTCTGCCTCAAGTCTCCTGAGAAGCTGAGATTACAGGGGTGTGCCACTGTGTCAGACATCTAAGTAGACTCTTGACTCTGATTCAGAAATGTCTGACTTGTCACAGCCTCTGCCTCCAGCCTTTACATCATGGCCACTTTTAAAAAATCTTTTTATTTTTTATTTTTTTGTAGTTGTAGATGGATAGCATGCCTTTATTTTATTTATTTACTTTTATGTGGTGCTAAGGATCAAACCCAGTGCCTCACACATGCCAAGCAAGTGCTCTGCCACTGAGCTACAGCCCCAGCCACATCTTGGCCACTTCTATCTGCCAATACTGGGATAATTCGTAGACTACCAGTGCCAGGCCTTTCCTAACCTTCTGCTGGTCTTACATAACTGAGAGGCTTGTCTACTCCTTAGAACCCCTGCCCCCACATTCTTTTTTGGGTCTTTTAGTTTCATGGCGTACCTCTCATCCAGGGGCCTGGTGTCCAATCCTGCATTGCCTAGCTTTCCTCCCTCGCTTTCCCCCTATTTCTCCCCCAGTGTAGTCATGGTTGATGAAGCTCACGAGCGGACCCTACACACAGACATTCTCTTCGGGTTAATCAAGGATGTTGCTCGCTTCCGACCTGAGCTCAAGGTCTTGGTAGCCTCTGCCACACTGGATACTGCCCGTTTTTCCACATTCTTTGATGATGCCCCCGTCTTCCGGATTCCTGGACGCAGATTTCCAGTTGACATCTTCTATACCAAGGTGCCCTCTCAGGGAGGATAGGCTTGAGTCTGAGGCGAGAAACTGGGGCCTTTGGAGGAGGTTATCCCAAGGAGGGAAGGGTACAATTGAAAGTTTAAAGGGAACTGGGATAAAGTTATAATGAATTGGGAGAAGTGTGTCTGAGCAAGTGGCCATCCTGTGACACCATGTCTTCCCCCTTTCCAGGCTCCAGAGGCTGACTACCTAGAAGCCTGTGTTGTATCTGTACTTCAGATCCATGTGACCCAGCCACCTGGGGATATCCTGGTCTTCCTGACAGGACAGGTATGCGACATGGTAGGAAAGGAGATGATGTATACCAGGGAAAGACTGGGCCAGCCTATTGGCCTCTGTGACTCTAGGACCCCTGTTGCTCTCCCATCCCAAATCCAGGAGGAGATTGAGGCTGCCTGTGAGATGCTCCAGGACCGTTGCCGCCGCCTGGGCTCCAAAATTCGGGAGCTCCTGGTGCTGCCCATTTATGCCAACCTGCCCTCTGACATGCAGGCTCGAATTTTTCAACCCACACCACCTGGGGCACGAAAGGTAAGTTGAAGAAACCTCAATTCTTCCATGCTAGAATTCACACAGTGGGTAGTGAAACAGAAAGTCTGTACATCCCCCATATAAGGCATATGCTGGGCTTTGCTGCAGAAACTAAGGAGCAGCCAGTCCCTTACTTCTGGGACTGGAGAGAGAGAATGAATATGATGTGAACCAAGAAACAGCTAAGTGCATGATTCAGGGAGTAAATACTATAGAGATTCAGAAGAGAAGGGAAGCTCTTGGTGAGCCAAGAGGAAGAATTTGATATGGGCCTTTAAGAAAAATGACTGGGGACTGGGCATAGTGGTTCATTCAGGCCTGTAATCCCCGGTACTTGGGAGACTGAAGCAGGAGGATATAAAGTTGGAAGTCAGCCTCAACAACTTAGCAAGATGCTGTCTTAAAATAAAAAGTAAAAAAGGGCTGACTGGGCTGGGGTTGTGGCTTAGTGGTAGAGCGCTCGCCTCGCACATCTGAGACCCTGGGTTTGATCCTCAGCCCCATATAAGATAAATAAATAGACAAAATAAAGATATTGTGTCCATGCATAACTAAAAAAAATTTTAAAAAGGGGGGGCTGAGGATGTCACTCAATAGTAGAGTACCCCGGTTCCATCTTCAGTGCCCTGCCCCCAAAAAACTGTGACTGGGGAAATAGAGGAAGGCCCAAGATGTGTTTGATGTCAGAGTGGAATTAGTGGACTTAGTGGGGTGTTCATGTGGTGCAGCAGAGAGCCAAGACCAGATCAACTGTGGGCCATGATGAAGGAGGACCTCTGATGGCAGGCAAAAGAGTTGGACTTTAGACAGGTGAGTGGCAATCAAAAGATTTTGAGCAGAGATTTCATTCAACAAATGTTTAATGAGGGGCTGAATGTGTGCCTTAGTGGTAGAGCACTTGCCTAATATGCTCAAGACCCTGTATTTCTTCCCCAGTGACCCTCCCCCCTCCAAAAAAAAAAAATGTATTCTTCCTTTGTGCCAGGAGATGAGGATACAGTGATAAGCAAAACAAAGTCTCTAGCTTCCCAGAACTTCAATCTAATGGGAGGAGACAGTGGGCCCTTAAATACATAATGTCAGTTTGTAGCAAGTGGTATCATATGTCAACTTGTGGGAATTGTTATGAAGAGATACAAAACAGCATAGGAAGATAGAAAGTGACTCTGGGGAGTGAGGGTGAGAAAATAGCAAGAAGTTATTTTTCTTGGGTGTAGAGAAACCTCCAGTGAGGTGAAGGTGAAGCAGATGCTGAAGGAGGGGAGGGAGAGAGCCAAGCTTCCTTGTGGGAGAAGAGTGCTGCATAGAGGCAGCAGCTGATGCAAGTCTCTAGATGGTGAAAGGCTCTGTGACTCAGACTTCAAGGGGCTTGGATTTAATTCTAGAATGGGATGGGAAGCCATGGAAGGATTAGGGAGTAATATGACGGGTTTATATTTTAAAAGGACCATTCTGGATGCCACATGATAGAGGCTAGGAGACTGGTTTAGAGGCTGTTACAGAAAGTGATGTATGAAGATGAATATGAAAGTGGTGGTGGGGAAGATGGGAAAAGAACCTGGACACTCCCATCTCCAACCTCAGGGTGGAGGGGGAACCCTAAATCCTTTTTCCATTTCCTTTTTGCATTATGTCCTTGCTGACTCTCCTTGCTTTCTTCTCTTTCCCCTTCTCCTGTCCTTGTCCCCCTCTCCTGATGTTGGCCACTAATTCTATCAGCTCCTGCTCCTCATTGTATCTACTTCTCTACTCTTAGTTTTCCAGGATAATTTTTTTCAAGAGTAAAATAACCACATCCTTTCACTCAGGTGGTTGTGGCAACAAACATTGCTGAGACTTCACTCACCATTGAGGGCATCATTTATGTGCTGGATCCAGGGTTCTGTAAGCAGAAGAGCTACAATCCCCGCACAGGCATGGAGTCGCTCACTGTCACACCCTGCAGCAAGGTCAGCCTGGGTCTCCATGGGTAGAGAAAGGTGGAATTATCCCACAGGGGAAGTCCATCTCAGGAGCTCTTAGAGAATGGGGGATAATAAGCATTTTGTATTTTCCCAGATGACTTGTGTAAATACTGCTTTTTCTCTTTTCCCTGACCAAATCATCAGCTAGCCTCTTCTTTCTAGGCCTCAGCCAATCAGCGGGCTGGCCGGGCAGGTCGGGTTGCTGCAGGGAAGTGCTTCCGCCTGTATACAGCCTGGGCCTATCAGCATGAGCTGGAGGAGACCACAGTGCCTGAGATCCAGAGGACTAGCCTGGGCAATGTTGTACTGCTGCTCAAGAGCTTAGGTGATTGGGCTTCCTGAAAGAGGGAGGGAGGGGGGCCGGAATCACTGGTTCCTGTGTGGGAACTCTGTTGTATCCTTTACACATTTCTCTAGGGATCCATGACCTAATGCACTTTGATTTCCTGGACCCTCCACCATATGAGACCCTACTGCTAGCTTTGGAGCAGCTGTACGCTCTGGGAGCCCTCAATCACCTGGGGGAGCTCACCACGGTGAGGTGGAGGGCAACATGGACTGGGGCAGGTCAAAGGAAGGGGTTCGGGTGCCCCAAGGATCCCTGTCATGATGGAAGGAAATCTGAGGGAATTCTGACCTAAACTCTCTTTCCTCTCCTTAGTCTGGTCGAAAGATGGCAGAGCTGCCAGTGGACCCCATGTTATCAAAAATGATCTTGGCTTCTGAGAAGTAAGAACTCGTACCCTTTCTGGCCCCTAAACATAAATCAATCATACCTCCCCTGTTTGGGGGGATATCTTTGTCTCTTTCTCTTTTTTTCTGTCATAATATTATATAACACATAAGTTATTAGAGAACTATGATTGTAGTCTCCACCCACCCACTTTCTTTTTTTGGTACTGAGGATGAAATCCAGGGCCTTGACATACCTACTAGGCAAGCACTCTATCACTGAGCTGTACCCCCAGCCCTTTATTTATTTATTTATCTTGGTACTGGGGGTTGAACCCAGGGATTCTTCACCACTGGGCTACATTCCCAGCCTGCTGAGGCTGGCCTCGAACTTGCAATCCTCCTACCTCAGCCTCCTGAGTTGCTGGAATTACAGAGGTATGCCACCATGCCTGGCTCCTTAGTGCCCTTTTTTTTTGTGGGGGGGAAGGGGTACCAGAGATTAAACTCAGGCACTCGGCCACTGAGCCACATCACCAGCCCTATTTTGTATTTTATTTAAAGACAGGGTCTCACTGAGTTGCTTAGTGCCTCGGTTTTGCTGAGGCTGGCTTCGGACTCTTGATTGTCCTGCCTCAGCCTCCTGAGCCGCTGGGATTACAGGTGTGTAATCCCAGCTCTTAGTGTCCTTTTTGAGGCCCATAGGGGTTTATATAAAACACTGTTCTGTCCTTGTTCATATTAAATAGACAGAGAAAACCTAGGAGTATGAACAAAAGTGGAAGATTTCCATCTGAGATGTGTTAAGTGAGATTGCTTTTGGAACTTGCTGATTCCTAAGATTTCAGACTGAGACATTTAGATATAGCTGTGGGAGACCACCTTTAAATGCTATTCCTGTGTTGTGGTTGAGGTCAGAAATATTTCCTCAAGTCACATAATGCACACCTTGCTCAGAAGTCCTAGTGTTTCCTGCCTCTGCCTCCATGCATTTCATTTTATGCAATTGTTTCACCTATGGCTCCCCCTCCTGGATTCCTGCTGCTACTGCTGCTGCTAGAATCTGCTGTCTGATGTATAGCTACTGTCCTAACTGGCTTCCCCATCACAGCAATCACTTTTCCCCTCGTGTGTCTGTTCCTAGATGTTTTTTTTTTCCTTCTTGATTTTTTTTTTTTTATATCTTTTTATTTATTTATTTTTATGTGGTGCTGAGGATTGAACCCAGGGCCTCACACATGCTAGGTGAGTGCTCTACCACTGAGCCACAATCCCACCCCTCCTAGGTGTTTTGCTTTGACCTTTTGTCCTTTTCGTTCCTGCTCAGGTACAGCTGTTCAGAGGAGATCCTGACAGTGGCTGCCATGCTCTCTGTCAACAACTCCATCTTCTACAGACCCAAAGATAAGGTTGTCCATGCTGATAATGCCCGAGTCAACTTCTTCCTCCCTGGTGGGGACCACCTGGTTCTGCTAAACGTGTATACACAGGTCACTGGTCTTGGGTGAATGGGAATGAGGGAGAAGTGTGTGGGGGGTTCTTGTCTACTGTATACTTAAGGCCTCCTACCTCTTTTCTTTTGAACCCTCTTCACAGTGGGCTGAGAGTGGCTACTCTTCCCAGTGGTGCTATGAGAACTTTGTACAGTTCAGATCTATGCGCCGAGCCCGGGATGTGCGGGAACAGCTAGAGGGGCTCTTGGAGCGAGTAGAAGTCGGTCTGAGTTCCTGCCAAGGGGACTATATCCGTGTACGCAAGGTCAGTGTTGTCCTCTCAGAACCTACTGGTGGTGTGCAGCAGTTCCCCAGCCTGAGCTAGTCCCCTTATGCAAAACATTCTCCAAAACTTTTTCTTCAGACTAGTTTATTCTCAGTGGGTTCTTCACACATTCCTTACCTTTCTAGTTCTCCCAAAGTCTGAATTAGGAAGGTGGTGAGTGCCAGGGGTCCCCTAGGCCCGCCTTTCTAGTTGATTTTCTTTCTGGACTACTCCTTAGGCTATCACTGCTGGCTACTTTTACCACACAGCACGGCTGACACGTAGTGGCTATCGCACTGTGAAACAGCAGCAGACAGTGTTCATTCATCCCAACTCTTCCCTCTTCGAGCAACAGCCACGCTGGCTGCTCTACCATGAACTTGTCTTGACCACCAAGGAGTTCATGAGACAGGTAAGGGACCATCCCAGAGATTGTATGGGGAAATTATGCTGGCAAGGTAAGAACCCAGGTTCAAGTTCCTAGGACTGGCACAATAACAGGAAAATAAATTGTTTAAGGTAGGATCAAGCCATTCTTTCTAATAGCTTCTCAGTGCCTTACAAGATCTGAGAACTAAGCTGGGCACACTGGAATATACCTGTAACCCCAGTGACACAGGAGGATCACAAGTTCGAGGCCAGCCTTAGTAACTTAGTAAGACCCTGTCTCAAAAAAAGGGCTAGCAATATATTTCAGTGGTTAAGTACCCCTAATTTTCAATCCTCAGTATGTGTCTGTGTGTGTATAAATAAATATTTGCCCACTGTCTCAGTGTTTTAAGGTACTGGGCTGTAATGGCAAACAAAGCAGACGTAGTCTGTCCTCACAGAATATACTTTATTTAGTCTCTTTGTTCTAGGCTTTTCTTAGGGATAGCTTACTTGATATCTTAAGTACACGTAGAGGTATGTTTGCCTTTTGGGTATAGAGCCAGGAACCTTTTCCTTTAGCTCTTCAGTCAAAAGGGAAAGAGGTACGGTATCATGTACTGAAATTGAATTCCATGCATGTATGAGTTAGGATGAACCCAACTGCTATGTATAACTATAAAAGCTCTTAAAAAAAAAAAAAAAAAAAAAGACCTCCCCACTGCAAAAAAAAAAAAAAAAGAGAAAGAGAACATTTGTTTGACCACATACACTTAAGATTCGTGATTGGGGGCTGGGGTTAAAGCTCAGTGGTAGAGCACTTGCCTAGCAAGTGTGAGGCATCAGGTTCAATCCTCAGCACCATATATAAATAAGCAAAATAAAGGCCCATTGACAACTAAAAAAAATTTTTTTTTAATACCTTTATTTTATTTATTTATTTATTTTTATGTGGTGCTAAGGATCGAACCCAGGGCTGTGCATGTGCTAGGCAAGCACTCTACCACTGAGCTACAACACCAGCCTTCTTTTTTTTCTTTTAAAAAAATTCCTAATTGGATAGAAGGTAATACTACTGATACTTTCTGTTTATTCTAGGTATTGGAGATTGAGAGCAGCTGGCTTCTGGAAGTGGCTCCCCATTATTACAAGGCCAAAGAGCTAGAAGATCCTCATGCTAAGAAAATGCCCAAAAAAATAGGCAAGACACGAGAAGAACTAGGGTAGAGGAAAGGAGACAAATGGAACCTGACACCAGCTCCTCCTTTTCCTTCCATATATTATTTAATATCTACTAAATAAAATTATTTTTGGAATAAATCTTGTGGAAACTTTTGAAGTCCAGAGAAAGTGACATCAAATCCATCCCATATTGTTACTTTATTATTTACAAGTTAAATTACACAGCAGCTTTACACAGCATGAGATGGAGAGGAAGGAGAGAAAAGGAAAAGCAGCTGGCTCAAGATTCTTGGCCACCTCCACCTCCTTCTCTTGTGCGTAGCAAAGTCTTCAGTGCTGCTTCCCTCCCAGTTCTTGGCTCAGGCCTTGGAACACACGTGTACGTTGGGTTCTGGTTCTGACAGCCCCAGGGCCACCAAGGCTCCCATCAGCAGCTTCTTTACAGGCGTTGAGGGTGAGTGTGAAGGCATCAGCTGCAGGGAGAGCAGTTAATGCCAGTTGGGAAGGGGCACACAAATGTTCCTTTTATCTTAGCCCCAAGACTCACCTTGTCTAGACGATGTCGACAAATGAGGCCGCTGGAATTCAGGTAGAAGGTGGAATAGGCATCATAGGTCCTGGTGATCGGGGAGAGAGGCTTACTTAGGGAGAAGGTCCCTGGTCCCAAAGCTTAACTCAAGCATTTGTTCAAATGAGGAGTTATTAAGTTTTATTACGTATTAGATCACCTGAGGGAACTTTTAGAAATTGCAAAGCTGAGGTTGCACCTTGAGCAATTAAATTGAACGGTCTGGCACCAATATCTAAAGATCCTTAGGTGATTCCAATGTTCAGTAAGTCAGTACCTATACTATAGGCCAGGTAAAGGTACCTGAAGAAATTGAAATTCAGGTTTCTTTTATAGACACAGTGTCTCACTGAGTTGCTTAGCACCTTGCTAAGTTGCTGAGGCTGGCTTTGAACTCAGGATTCTCCTGCCTCAGCCTCCTGAGCTGCTGGGATTACAGGCATGTGCCACTGTGCCTGGCCCAGAGGTTTCTTAATATATTCAAAATCCTTATTGTTTTTGCTATAGAATAAAACAGATCCCTCAAGTGAGGGCAACTCACGGATTGGAGACTAGATAGTCAAAGTCTTAAAAGGTATGATAAGGAACTGATTATAGTTTGGATCTTTTCCCATTTCTCTTACCGGTAAAGCTCTTCTTTGTCACGCTTGTAGAAACGCAAAAAGAGCATGTGAATGGGAAGTCCTATGAGCCGCCAGCGGGCTTGTAGGGTCCAATTCTCAGGGTGGCGGGTCAGCTGTAGAACCTCTAACCGAAGTTGTGCAAAATAGTTCCAGGCCAAGAAGCGGCAGAGGGTCAGTGACAGAATGTACCATGTCCGGCCCCTATGAAAAAATGATGGGAAAGAAATCTCCACAATGACAGAATCAGAAAAACAAACTGGTTTCCGTCACAGGAATGGCAGACACTTGTGAGAAGCTATCCAGAATCCAAGAAGTAAAAAGAGTCAAGTGTATAGCATTGGGTCCTTTTCCCTTCCCAGCCTTACCCATGTCAATTCTTACTTGGTACGTATGCTCAGAATCTCATTGATAAATTCCACATCGGATGAATAGAGAGTATAGTCATGGGAGTGAAGGAAGAGGTTGGGAAGCTAGGTGGAAGAAGAGATATGAACTCAGTAGAAAATAAAGATGATCCAATTTCTCAGTTTTCTATTTTTAGGGCCTTCTTATCCCCTCTGAGTGAAAGGTCATCTCTTCCCAAGTTTGACCTCCCTTAATCTCAATAAAAGAGCATCTTTTTCCTTGGGAAAATGTTCACAGCACAGTTCTATGCCTGCCTGATGGTTCTAAGATAGTCCAATTGACTAAACTATTTTTAAGGATTATTTATATTCTTTTCCACTATAGATGAAGACCACTCTTGAACTGACTTACCTCTTGTCTCAGTCTCTCATACATGACAGCCAGGTGTTCCTCCATACTAGGATCTCCTGATGGGGTGGTAGGGGAAGGATGGGCAGTTCCAGGGGCTTGGAAAGGTGTCAAAGCCCCAGGATATGGGCAGGGAGGTCCCTCAAAAAGGCTCCGAAGTCCATCTAAGCAGCGGCTGTGCAACTCTGGTCCTGGTCCTTCCTCCCCCTTTCCTGGAGGGAGAACTACCCACGGTGAGTTGAGGGCCTGGATCTGAGGGAGAGGTAGTAGACAAGGCCTGGGGACAGGCTGGGAGGGAGGATGTGGGAGTCGAGGGGACCACAGAAGAGGAGAAGATGGGGAAGTGGTGGTTGTGGAGTGGGGCCAAAGGGGTGGGAATGGTAGAGTCCGAGAAGAAATCTGGTCCTAAGGAGACAGAACAAGAGAAAAAGGTAAGAATCCAGTTGCCTCATGAACAGGCTTCCAATCCCACCTACTACTACTGACAGAGGAGCTGAGACTTGCTAGAAGAAAAAAAAGGTACAGATTCACTTCCATCTCTACTGAAAATGGGAGGAAATAGTTTGATGTACCACAGGTACTAGTAACTCCCTCAATTAATAGCAAATGCCTTTACATTAATACTCCAACATTGGCTGGGAGCCATGGTGCACTCCTGTAATCCCAGCAGTCTGGGAGACTGAGGCAGGAGGATCGTGAGTTCAAAGCCAGCCTCAGCAATTTATTGAAGCCCTAAACAACTCAGCAAAAACGCTGTCTTTAAATAAAATACAAAAAAGGGCTGGGGATGTGGTGTGGCTCAGTAGTCAAACGCCCTGGGTTCAATCCCCAGCACCAAAAAACAAAAAAACCAAAACAACCAATCCTAGGGGCTAGTTTCACTTCTCTTATAGTAAGGATCATATGAGAATAGATATTTGGTAAATGAATAATAGGTTTGATTGTACTCTGAGTGAAAATGATGTAGTCTACAAGACATCTCCATAATTTAATATGCCAGGCAAATGTAGCACAGGGAAAAGAACGTACGACTGAAGCTAGGAATCCAAGTTCCCATTTTATTGTGCACTTTCATCCCTATACCTCAGTTTCTTATAAATAAGAATGATGAAGCCTCATTTGGTTTTATAAGATATTAATGAATGTAAATAAAACTCTGTCACCCATAAAATAGAACGTAAATGGAAGCTATTATTTCAGTGCCACTATTATTTATGCCACTAAATAGTAGACTATTAAAGGATGAACTTCATTTCCCGGTTTACTAACGTTAAAACTGAGAAGATGGGAAGTCACCCACTAAGGTTTGACCCGAGTCTCGGCTCCCAAGGAATCCCCTGGGAGTTTCACTTCCCGGAGGGCTGGTGGGCCGTGCGGGTACCTCAGTCCCGGACAGTGACCCAGAGGCGCGTCTCTGATGGGGGCGTGGTCATGTTGCCCGCCCATGCACAGGGGTCTGAATTGGGTCCACCGGGTCCGGCTTTCCTGCCGGGACCACTCTCCAGATGCAGGATGTGCGGACTGCACAGCACGGCCTGCGGTTCTGGTCCGGGCTGACGAACTCCCTGCCGCGCTGCGGCCGGGATTCGAGCCTCTGCCCCTGCCCTTCAAATCACCTCCACGCACAGGTAATCAAAGAGTCTCGGGCGCAACGCAGTCGCTCCAGGCTGCCTGGACGTCGACCACGCTCGCCCGCTCTCAGGACAGAGCTAACATGCCCCCACCAGCCGGGCAGAGGCTCTTACCCATGCCTGCGACCCTAGCCCCCTCCACACGCCAATCCATACAGGTGGGAAGGGGCGGGGGGGTGCCATTGCGCCTGCGCGGAACCCGGCGTGCGCTCCGCCCCACGCACCGGCTCTAAGAAGGGTCTTTCCCCGCCCCCTCTCCTCCCCTCCCGTCTTTCCTCTGCTCTCACCTGGGGTCGAGCCTGGTAGGCGCGAAGGCAGGGGCCGAGACGCTGGGCTGCCCCCCGGCTGGGGTGGTACATGATCTTCCGGGAACGGAGAGGGCGCCTCCCAAGTTTAGCCTCCAGCCTCCGACCTCCTCACAGGGGTGAGCGTGCCCCAGAGCCGGCTTCGTGAAGGGGAAAGGAAGGGGGGGGAAAGGGGCTGAGGGGAGGAAAACGGAGATGTTGCGCGCTTGCGCACTGCAGGCTCCAGGGAAGCAGCTGCGCTCGGTTCGCCGTTAAGTGCGCCTGCGCTCGCCAGACCGACGCTACCTTATGGCGCTTGCGCAGCAAATTAGCGGCACTGAACTGTACAAGTGCCTGTGGCACTTGCGCAGCAACCTAGGCGAGGATGCGGCTGAACCGTGTGAAAGGGGAAGGGTGGGGACGGGGAAGGAGAGGAGCACCTTGAAGAGGGAGGCTTGAATCTGCTGAATCACCAGTTTGATTTAAGGGTTCAATTAAAGATATCCACTATGAAGAGAGGGCATATGTGCCAGGGCAGTATTCAGTGTGAAGAAAAAGCTTGGAAGGAACCATCAAAGTAACCAGGAAATTGGACTTTAAGACTCAGAAACCAAACTAGATCATATGATTGCTTATAATTGCAAAAGTGAACAAAGAAACAAAATCCAAGCTGAACCGAGGTGAGAGATGACATTACCAATTGGTGAGAAGAATGCATTTGTGGTACATATTTGTAGTTCTGGGTATACTTTGTGTTGCTACCACTTTGGATCTTAATTTTCTGGATTAAGAGAAATAATGACGATCAAGTTTTTAATAGCTTTTTTATTTATAAAAATAAATACTTTTATTACTTTGGTTAAAAATAAGATACAAATGATCTGGAGCTGATAGGAAAGCCTGTTGAATGAATGAAAACATCCATTAGGAGGGCTGGGCTTTGGCTGTCTCCTGTAATGAGGAAGAAATAATACTGACTTTGAAAGTGTGAAAAAGGGCTGTGGTCACCAAGGCCTGGTGCTGCGACGTTCCTGCAGGTTTCGAATGAACCTGGCGTTGAACATGTCCCCACCCACTGTCCAGGACTGGGATGGTGGAGCTTGGGCCTGTTGAGGAACTGTATGTGTGGGTTCCTCCCCAGACCCATCCTGTGACAAGACCTGCTCCTCACTGGCAGACCTGGTGAGTGAGGAGATGGAGAGTGCGTTATAGAGGCACTTAAGTGGGAATTACAAATACAGATTCTTTAAAGGCTCATAGGTGGCAGATGTTAATGTAG